TCACTTATTGGAAAAACTATACACACGAATAATCTTATATCAATTATTAGAAATAAAAGAGACAGACAGAAGGTATACCATGAATTCTCCGCAACAATTCCAGGTCTTATTTGCCAAATATTTTGATGATAACCTCTCAATTGTTGACCCGACTTTGACCAGTTGCTACAAACTTTTAATATTTTTGAAAGAAGCTGGCATTTACAAGAGGTGGTGCATGTAGATGCCATCATCTTTTAAGTTCGCCTAAACAACCTACTATTTTTACTTGTCTATGCAGTTTTTCATTGTTAAGTTTTATTTGCAAATAATTTCTTAATGGGAGATCAAATCCTACAATTTTATTAAGTTTCATGATTTCGTTCTTTGATGTATTGGAAATTTTGTAGATCTCTCGGTTTACCTCTTCCAAAATGGGAAACATTGTCCATACATTCATTTTTAGGCCCAAATGGTCTTCATGGCGAATGGATGGGCCCAAGAGCTGAGATAAAGGAAAACAGAATGGACTGTCATATCTTAATTTGCTCGATCTTCTCCTTTAACGAAAGTTGCTTCATTCTTCCGTCTTTACCTTCAAATAAATAATTAATTTTCTTGTACCCACGTTAAATATCAAACCGACTGTTGTCAGTTTGACTGAAAATTCATGGCAAGATCCTGTCAAGACTAAACTATTGGTGTGAGAGTGTGTGCATTATTTTCTGTTCTTTTCTTTTCAAACTGTAGAGTTTTTGTGTGGATAGTCTTAAAAATTTGCATTTGATACAATATATATATAGCTCAAACATATGTATATACAAAGTTAATTGACAATTCAAAATTGTGTCACTATGTTTATAACTTGAATCAGATTAGACAATACGAGCCTATGGCAGTAAATGATATCATTTCTGTTGGGTTTTGAAACCCGGTAAATTTAGGCAATAATTTAAAATGATGTCAGGAATTTTATCAACACCAAAGTGATGGCTCAACCCGAAAACAATTTGGGCCACTTGAAGTAACTTAATTAAATTAAGGGGTACTTACAAAAATACCCTTAAAATTAGGAATGTTTTGAAAAATCATATGAAAGGTTTTTAGGAAGTAAAAAATACTGTGTAAAATGAAAAAGTGATACAATGTCACTTTTTTTCATAAAAAATTGTCACTTTTTTTAATTTTAAAAAGTAAAAAAAGTGACACAAACTCAAAAAAAGTGACAAAACTAAAAAAAAGTGACAAAACTAAGAATGTTTGTAAAATGGGAATCAAGGCTAGGTAATCAAGAAAACAATATATTCTGCATCAATTTTTGTGACTTTCTATCATTTTTTTGGATATTTATCACTTCATTGAATATGTTCTAAATCTAAGTTTATATGCTAGTTAATAAATTTACTTTATTGAATATTTGTCACTTTTTTCACTTACTGTCACTTTGTTTGGGATAGAAAAGTAATAGAATGTCACTTTTTCATA